GGCCCATTTGGCCAATCGTTTTGAGAGCTCGGGTTTATGCATTATGTTCCTTTACGGGTAAGTAGTCACGACACATAAGGTATGCCATTGAAATTACTGTTTTAACTTCCTAGAGGCGCTTAGCAAAGCGAGCGCCAATTTTTCCAGGTGAGGATACCTAGTTTTGGCCTCGCCTAGAGTCCTGCTAACATAATAGATAGGAAATTGTGTACCTTCATCTTCCTGGACCAAGACTCCACTTACCGTTTTCTCGAATACCGTTAAGTACAGGTACAACTATTCGTCTGCCTTCGGAATATGAAGCAAAGGCGGGCTCGAAAGGTACCGCTTGAGTTCTTTGGTTTTTTAGCACTCCGGGGTTCATGAGAAGTTATTTTTCTTCTTCTTCAATAACGAGAAGAACCGATGGCTCTTGTTAGAGGACCTTGAATTGAATCAACCCAAGGCGACTATGCGCCCGGTTAACCTTTGAAAGGCCTTGACATTGTCCACCACGGTACCGTACTCTATGGACTTGATCTTATCAAGATTGATCTCGATTCCCCGGTTGGACAGTATGAATCCGAGGAATTTCCTAGACCCGACTCTGAATGCGCATTTTTCCAGGTTTAGCTTCATATTGTACTTTTTCAATATGTTGAAGGTTTCCTGCAAATTTTTCAAATGGTCCTCAAGTCGTAGGGACTTAACTAACATATCGTTAACGTAAACCACCATTGATTTTCCTTTTTTCTCTTCGAACATCTGATGTACTAGGCGTTGGTAAGTGGCACCAGCATTTTTTAGTCCAAACGGCATTACATAGCAGTAGGTGTTGTATTTAGTGATGAAGGATGTTTTTTCCAGGTCGCCTGGGTCTATCCAAATTTGGTTGTACCCGGAATAGGCATCGAGAAAGCTGAGGATCTTGTGGCCGGCCATCGCATCGATCGCAATCGATGTTGCACAAAGGAAAAGAGTCCTTGGGGCATGCATTGCTCAAGTCTTTGTAGTCTACACACATTCTTAATTTATTCCCCTTTTTAGGGACTACTACTACATTTGCTAACTAATCCGGTATTTAACTTCCCGAATGGATCCTATTTTAAGGATCTTAGTTACCTGGTCTTTGATGAATGCATGCTTGACTTTGGACTAAGGCCTCATTTTCTGTTTGACCGGATGGAACTTTGGATCCAGGCTGAGCTTGTGAGTAGTTATTTTTGGCGGGATCCCTGTCATGTCAAGGTGGAACCAAGCGAAATAATCTATATTAGCGATAAGGAATTCAATGAGTTTTTTTCCTGAGCTCAAGACTTAACCCCGTGCCCAGGTATGCCTTACGATCGGGTAGGTACTCGACCAATATGACTTGCTCCATTTCCTCGATCGTTGATTTGGTGGCATCGGAATCGTCATGGGCTACGAAAGACCTAGGAACTCCGTAGTCGTCATCCTTACCCGTCCCTTGCTTTTCCGGCTCGGTCGGTGCCAGCATCGGTGATTGCTATTTGGTTTCTTCCTTGGTGATGGAACTCGAGTTCTTTGATGTCGAGAGTGTGGATATCGGGACCACCTCATCGACCGTGAACATCTCCTTTACGGACGGTTGTTCTCCATAAATTATTTTAGTCCCTCTTGGTGTTGGGAATTATAACACCTGGTGTACTATCGAGGGCACTGCCCTCGTGTTGTGAATCCGTGGCCTCCCGAACAGAGCATTGTATCTCATATGTCCTTCGATCACGTAGAACTTTGTTTCTTGAATGGTTCCGGTGGTGTTCACTGGTAGGGTTATCTCCCCTTTAGTGGTCTCACATGCCATCTTGAATCCGTTTAGAAATCGGACTGCAGGCACAATTTAGTCTTATCGACCCAGCTAGACCCTCGATCTGATGATATTGGTCGAGCTACCTGGAGCAATTAACACACGCTTAACTGAAGATTTATTTTTACAAATATTACCAGTGCAACATTATGTGGTTGCATGATCCCTTCAACGTCCTCTCCATTGAAAGATACGGTTCCTTCTCGCACGTAATCCCGAGTCCATTTTTCCCTTGTGATGGACACTTTGGTACGCTTTAACATTGCCCCCTGTGGGACGTCGACCCCACCGATGATCATGTTGATGACGTGCTGAGGTTCCTCCAGCTCGATCTCTTTATTGGAGTCCCTATTCCAAAAATGATTTTTGGCTCGATCGCTCGGGAACTCTCGGAGGTGTCCGTTGTTGAATAACCGGGCTACTTCATCTCTTTGATGTCGGAAATCTTAAGTTCTGTGGCTGTGAGTGCCATGATACTTACACATTAGGTTTGGGTCCTTCTGAGCAGGGTCGATTTTAAAGGTCGAGGCCACTTGGTGTCTTTGATGCGTCCGATGGCCGATACGATGGCCGCAACATCAAGGTTAAAGTTAAACTCCAATAACCTTGGCGCTTCCTTTAGCCCAATGGGTCTGTCATAACCGTTTTTGCTAATGAGTCCCCGGTTATTATGACTTCGGTCGCTTCTTCTTTCACATCTCACAGGGTTTCGTCCAGATCCATTACCCCTTCGACCTCCATTGTATGGTTGATACCAATCTCTATTCGATCTCGGTTCACGATCAATGCCTCTTTTGGATCTGTCACTAGCTCTAACGGGATAAACAGACCCGGAAGGGGCCCCGAGTTGATCATCTTCAACCCTGATTTTTGATAGGTACCGGTTATGGACGTCGGCCCAAGTTACCGCTGGGTATTCTACCAGATTTTGCTTCAACTGTTGTGAAACCAACGAGCTTCGAGCATTGAGTCCTTGGGTGAAGGCCTGAACGGCCCAATCCTCTGCGACTGGAGGCATATCCATCTGTTCCATTTGAAACCTCGATACGAACTCCCTAAGCTTCTCGTTATCCCTTTGATTTACCTTGAAAAGGTCCGATATCCTCGTCTCGACCTTGATGGCCCCGATGTGCGCTTTTACAAAAACGTCTCCAAGCGTAGCAAACGAATCAATAGAATTGGGGGGTAAGTTGTGATACCATATTATAGCTCTTTTTGACAAGGTCTCTCCGAACTTTTTCAGCAGGACGGACTCGATCTCATCATCTTCCATGCCGTTCCCCTTGATGGCTCACGTGTAGGAGGTCACATGTTCATTTGGGTCAGTTGTTCCGTTATACTTAGGAATTTAGGACATGGGGAACTTCTTTGGGATCGGCTTTGGAGCTGTGCTTGGAGGAAAGGTTTTTGAACAAACTTCTTGGAATCCAAGCCCTTCAATATCGGTGGTGCTCCTGGGATTTGATCGACCCTGGAGTTGTTGGTTTCCACCTTTTTGTCATTGGCTTCGATTTTCTTTTCTCTCGATTCCACCTGTTTTGTTAGCTCCTCGAGCATCTTTATGATCTCGGGGTTGATCACAGGTTCAGCTTCACTTGGCCTCTCCGTGATTAGTTTATTTCTGCAAGTGTTTTCCTGGGGCAGTTCAGGCTCAACTCTGTTGGGGGCGCGACTTTGGTTTTGCATATTGTCTATCGCTGCTTGTTGAGCCTGTAGCATTTCGAAGATCACCCGCAAGTTGATCCCATCGCCCTTACTGCCATGAGTATCCCTGGCTACCGACCTGACTTCCCCGCGAACGCTGACCTCCGGGTCGGTGGGCAAGTTAGCGTCAATGGCCACGTGGGAGCTGACGTCGATTGGGTATGCGACCGGGGCCCCGTTGGGGTCAATAGGGTGAACTTTGTTGTATTGTTGTTTTCACCGTGGTGACCAATCTCAACATCAACGTTCTGAGGGGCAGACTGGGAGTTCGACATTACTTGAAATTAAAAGTTCAAAGAACAAGTGTAAAATAGAGTGCTTTATGAAAATTTGTATCAAATTGCCACTATTATCTTTAGCTCCACGGTGAGCGCCAAACTGTTTACCCTAAAAAATGGATAACAATTACATTTGTAAGTGGTGTTAAGGACATGTGGATTAACTCAATACAAACGGTAAATATCGCTAGATTAAACAGGTAAAATGTGTAATAAATTATCGAACCACTTTAAGGGCGGGGAACTCTGGACACGACGACAGCCTTAATGAAATATCTGTCCTCTATCCCAGACTTATAATAATGAAGCACTGATCAACAAATGTAAGAGCCTTGAATAACAGAGAAAAATAATAATATATTGCCTTAATGTGCGTGTTACCATCCTGTTAATGAATAATCAGACTCCCCCTTTATATAGTAGGGGAGTTCTACCATAGGTACAAATTCATAAAAGATAAAAATCTTTCCTTTAACTAATCATCGGATTTTCGCCTGTACGTGCCGATATCCGCGCCGAGATATCCGGCAGGTCGCGAATATCACGTCCTTCTGTAATAGTGCTCGGTTGCCCGACAACGTTCTCCGAAGTCTTTTGGGATTTGGACCAATCCCAGATCATGACCCCGATATTCTCGAGGGTGGGCGTCATGCCCCCAGACTCTGGCTCGATGGGACCCTTGCCTCGATTCTAGTTCCTTGTCATCACCGCTCTAGCTCAATTTACCTTATCGGAAATTGGGGCGTCGCATAGGCCCAGTTTCACCTGTATACAAAGTCCTCATGGGAACGATACTTTACTAGTCACTTTATTACTTGACGATCGTGTATACTCACGTGTGCATTTGGCCGTATCAAGTACTCCCTCCGTTACAGTTTATGTGAACTTTTCTGCTTTACGAAAGTCAATTTAACTAATCTATGAAGCAAAATTGAATTAGATAAACTCAATATTTTAAAGTTAAAATTTATTTATTAAAAAGTTAAACGAAAAGTACTATAAATTGCACTTCTTCTCATGTCAACATGATGAAAAAATGTATTTTAAAATATTTGTCATGGTTTACCTAATTTGAATTTCGAAAGCGAAAATTGTCACATAAACTGAAACGGTAGAAGTGGACGTGTCCCAGCCCCAGCTGACGCACCAAAATGGTAATAAGAAGTAAGAACAAAGATTCAAGTAAAATTTTAGCTAGAGAATACATGTACTAAAACAATTAAATCAACACACATAACATAGATGAACTGTAAACACGGTAACTACATTATCTGATAACTTCATATCATACGTCAAGTAATCGATTCATCTTTTGCTTCCTACCTTATTTTGTTTCTTCTCTACTCTTGCTCATGAGGTGGCTAGTAATTAGGTACAATTCATTATTGGAAAATCATGATAATCGCAGCCACTGATATCACGGTTTCACAAACCTTGTTTCCAAACAACAACAAGAGGGGAAACCACTTGGTGTTTCCCGTCAGACCAATTCAACATGCCCACCTCTACCAGCGAGCTTAGAGTTGTCACCGCCAAATTCTCAGCCTTAATACGAACCACATAACTTTGTCTCTGACCCATTTCTCTGAAATCTATTTTGGTTGGTGTTACAGTTACAGTCGCACCTTTAGGATTTGTCACCAATACTGTGTAAGTTGATGGAGCCTCACCAATATGTGTCACAGTCCTTGTCACTTGTACAATTCCCATACCTGCTGCTTCAGTCGAATCAATAACCACTGAGATTGCCGGATAATTAAAATCCCACGGCTTATGGTGCTTCCCCATGCACCTCCATGGTCTCCTAGCAATCTGTTTAATATCCCTACCACTATAATTAGATGCACATAAAAAGTTCAAATAATCATCGACTGTTATGTCATAAACCAATCCAGGATCAACGGCTTTTTCGGGATCCACATGTCCTGCACCCATGTCCAACACCGTTGAAACGTTATAGGATTTTTCATCTAGCAACATCTTGCCTTGTTGATCTTGTGTGTATGCAGTTGTCATGAGAGCTGAGCGAATCATTGCTGGTGACCAGTCCGGATGGGCTCCTTTGAGTAAAGCCGCTAAACCAGACACGTGCGGACAAGACATAGATGTTCCAGATTCAATATTAAACTGAGTGCGTCGCGTGTCAGATGACAGCTCAGTTGGTGCCACACCATCCGGCCAAGCAGCTAAGATATTCACTCCAGGCGCGATGACATCTGGCTTGAGAACGAAAATAGACTCTGCGTTAGGTCCTCTAGAGGAGAAAGATGCAACTACGGGTGCCGGTTTTACCCCAAGTTGAGTTCCGTAGAAAGCCATAGTCGCTGTTGGATTGTTGTTGGAGTTGATGTAATCACGAATGATGTTACCAGCTGACTCGGTAACCCCCAGTCCAGGAATCAAGTGTGCATCTGCAATTAGGCCTTCTCCCATGGGTGCTACATTTGCTACAATGACTCCAGCACCACCGGCTTCATTCACGACCTCTCCTTTTGCTACCCTTGGAGTGCCACCACGATCGCAGACCACAATCTTCCCACGCACACGCTCTTTATCTAGTGAATCGGGCATGCATGTTGCTGCAGAGAAGCTACTAGAATGCCTAGCACCATTTCTTATACCAACTGAAACATTCCCACCATATACTAACGGCAACTGTTTGTCAGGCAAAGGATCACCACTATACAATGACGCGCCAGTGATTCTCTTGCCATTTCCAAGGACAAGATCAGCAGGGAACTTTCTATCAATAGTACTAGCACCCACGGTTGTAATCCATGGAGCTACATTCGTCACCGTCATTTGCCTTGGACCTTCGTTACCTGCTGAAGCGGAGACAAGAATACCTTTCTCCATTGCTCCGAAAGATCCGATCGCTATGGGATCAAGATTGTAAGGAACAGCACCACCACCGATAGATATTGAAATAACGTTGACGCCATCATCCACAGCTTTATCAAATGCTGCTAAGATGTCGGAATCCATGCAACCCCTTTTCCAGCAAACCTTGTACGCTGCAATTCGAGCCTTGGGTGCTATACCGACAGCAACTCCTTTAGCGAATCCCAGCAAAGAAGCATCCTCAACGGCTCTGCCAGCTGCAGTGGAGGCCGTGTGTGTTCCATGACCGTCGCTGTCTCTAGCGGACTTTATGTCAGTAGAGGAATTCATAATCTTCCCAATTCTCGCCTCATAGCCTGCTGTAAAGTATCGAGCTCCAATAATCTTTTTATTGCAATTGGCTTTTGTAAAATCTTGCCCTTGTGTACACTCCCCTTTCCAAAATGATGGAATTGGTCCCATGCCTTTGTCATGAAAACTTAGTCGTTCTGGCCATATACCGGTATCAAGTACACCGATAACAACGTTAGAACCCGAGTCAGACTCGGATACAAGATTAGCTGGAGCAGAAGCTGATGAATCCAACCCCAGAAAGTGAGGTGAGCGAGTGGTATGAAGTTGGCGAAGTCGGTCGGGTAAAACTGAGAGAACCCCTCGGCGACTTGCCAGTTCTTGGGCCTCTTTTTCAGTGAGTCTTGCCGAGAAGCCATGGAAAACAGTTTTGTACACATGAAGGAACTCCAGATCAGTGGTTTCTACTTGGATGCTGTTGGATTTTGCAGAGTTAAGAGGATTCGAACTTAGGCTTCTAAGGGTGGAACCATACCAGTGCTCAACATCAGAAAAAGCAGATGGTTTCATGTCATTTTGAACTCTAATAATGTAGGATTGCTTGTTTCCAGAGATTATATTAGCATCAATGAGTGTTAAGAAGAGAGAACAAGTGAGAAAGAGAGCAGCTTGAAGAGAGTGGCATCGACCCATTTAGGAATGAGGAGTAAAGAAAAGAGGTGACAGTATGTATACATGGGTACGTATATATCCCTATACTTATAGAAGAGTTCGGAGAAAAAGAGAAGAGTTGGAAATTGATATTGAAACGCCTAATGCCTGCGAGCTTAGCATGACGAAAGAGAAGGCGAAAAGCATGATCTTTTGTGGTAACCAAAAGTTCGCTTAACATGCTTTCTTGCCACCGAAGTGGACCATCTTTATAAATTTGGCTCGTCTCTTTCCTTTTTTTTCTTTAGGGGATCACTACTCTATATTTTACGTACTAAACATGTTTTTTCTTCAACTCTTTCTGTCTTGTTGCTACCTATTTTTCTTTTGCTCATTAAAGGTGCAGAAACTGGTAAAATGATACTCCTACATCTACGCGTGTACTCTCCAAACGGTGGAAGATGTTCTACCACCGACTGCCAATCGATGCTAGGAATGTTAACCCAAAAAATAATTTTTGTAATAAAAACAATAATAAATATTTTGGGTTTCTAACAATTAACTTTATTCACTTTTTCAAACATAAACGATACGAAAAAGAAACAACTAATAAATTAAAAAAATAAAGAAAAGAGAAATCTTATTGATGATTGTAGTCTTTCTTTCGTACGAAAGCAATAATTTTTCAATAATAGAGAACTGTAATACAACACTTTAGTTGAGAGTATGACTCACTAATTTTTCGGCGGGAATACAAGATATGGAAGGGGTGGAGTTTTAAATAATACATTCATTCGTAACTGTTTGTCTTGTTTAGTTCCTGCTCGTTACTATCATTTATTGCATTAAATATCCATTGATTTATAACGCTTGAGAAAATGATGGAAAATCACATGCAATCAGGGATTGACTTGATTCTTTTCATATTTGTAGCTATTAATGACCCTTATTTATCAGTCCCGTCGATATGCTCTTGTGTTTGACCCAGAAGCTAATAGGCACGGTAGTTTTGTGTGTGACCTCGAGAGTGTTGCACTTGTCTTCCGTACACGTCATTCTTCTTTGTCGTATTAATTCCAACAACATCTGTCATCATAAAATAGGTCCACGTGACTCCACTAATACGGATAGTCCCCCCACTTTTTTGATATTCTTAACTTAATATTAGGGAATATTTTGTCACCTCTTCCCGAGATTATTATGACGTGCTGCTGAAGTGAAGAGACATGCGCTACTTCAATTTAATGCTCGAGACACGCGTCTTTTTGTGATTGGTTCTGATTTTTTGTAATGGTTTTCCATGCACAGACACCTTTGTCAACTTGATATGACGGTTCCATGATGATGGTTTATGAAGACGTACCTTTTCTTTATAAATGCGGAACCACAAACCCTCAACCTTCCTTCTACTTTCTTTCGTCTTTGTTGTCTTCTTAGAATCCCTTCTTTATTCTTCATTCTTACCTTCAACTTCATTTCTTCATGTTCTAAACGACATACAAATCATCTGTTTCTACTACTTCTGATGTTTCCCCTCATCATACTATTATACTCGATGATCTTTCCTCTACAGTAACTCCTGTTAGGAATAAAAGAAGGGGAGAAAGTGTTCGAGCCTTAGTTCTATGGTAAACATAAATCACTCCTCTTTTGTCAAAGGAATTTCTTCAAAATCTGCTTCTTCTTCTTGGACTAGGACATCTGCTACTCCTAAATCCTCTTCTAAGGGTAAAGCAAAGGATACCAATGAACCCTTGGTTGAACCCTTAGTTTCGGAGATTGTTCCCCAAAAATTCACTTTTATTGCCGACTGTGCCGAACGGAACAGTGATATAAATAAGAAAGTAGGTCGTAATGAGTATGTTGACCTTTATCAATATCTTTTCAAGCATGGCCATCTTCCACTCGTTCGTAGAAAGTGCCGATGAAAATCTAATTTTCCAATTGAAGCTCCTGGTGAAAACAATCAAATAACCACCCATCGTGAAGGTTCTTCATTCATCTATACTTACTCTTTTACCCTCGGGTGCGATCCTGCAATAGACCTAGTGATCATCGAATACTGTCAACATTTCAACGTGTGCCTTGGCCAAATACATCTGATAATTTTGAGGTTAGTAGCGTGTACACGCTACTTGTTGAATTTGGTTTAGGAAACTTTTACTTTTTGTTGCCATCTTTACTTGTACCCCCAAGCTTTTATCGTGCTAGTGTTTTTACACATACAGCAAGGAGCAAGCAAGTCGTTGTTGGCCCCGAGGATGATCAAGATATAGGGTGGTACAGTAGATATGTGGCTATTCCAACTCGTGAGTTGGTGGGAGATGAGAACATGCATTTTCCTGAAAAGTTGAACTTCAAACATAAGTTTCTGTCACTATCTTTAAATTTCTTTCCTTTTAATTGAAACTCTAATTCTTCCATATACTCGTTTTGCAGCAACCATAGAAGTTGTTGGTGAAATACAAGACATCTACGAGTGGGTGGCACTGAAGCTACCTTCTGCTCTTATGGATTAGAGGACATGAAAGTTTCTTTCCTGGAATTTTTTATGGAAAGTAAAAACTCATGGTGAATAATTTTTTGCGCCGTGATTATTTTCGCGTTCACTTACTTTTCTTTTTTATGCTTCATTTTCATGTGCAGGATTTGGAATCCCCGGTGTCCCCCTTCTTCCACTCCTACTACTAGACTTGATATCAATACAACAAAGAAGTGTATCTTATATTTATTCTCTTCAAAGAGGAAAGATAGAGAAACTCTTGCCTTTGAAGGAGAAGAGGAAGATCCTCCTATCATGAAGAAACCTCGTTCCAGAAAGCAGATTGTGTTGGAAAGACGATAAGAATAATCCCCAAGCCAAACCTTCCGAAATAGCTCTAGTTTGTTTGGTTGATGAACTAGAAGATACTCTGATGGTGATTTTGGAGGGAGAAACCGCTGAACCAACTTCTATACCGATCGAAGTATTGTTTGATCATGAATTCTGGGATAATGATGGTGGAGACCCATCATAGTGATTTTGTCAATGATGACCTTGGAAGCGACCATCATACAGATTTTGTCAATGATGGCCAACCTCCCTCAGCTCCAGCTTTTGGGGTTCAATGAAGGCTACTATTGAGGTTTTTATTCCAACAAGCGATGAGATCAAATCATATGGACTCGTTAAGAATGATTTTTATCTAGGTTATGGCCTATTAGAAGTAGAAGGCGCTCTAGTGGGTTCTTCCCGCATAGTAAAAGATTGCAGCCAATTTGATAATGATCGAGTTTGAAGAAGGTAGGGAGAAATAGCTCCTTCTATCGCTATTCAAAATGAAGTCGGTCCTTCCAATAAAGGAAATATGGAGCAAATGATAGTATAAGTCCCCAAAAGTATCAACCTTCTGAAAAAACTAGACCGAATTATCGTCTGGTTAAAGCCTTTGATTGGCCCCACCAAGAGGGAACAATTTGAGTCACACTCTTCAATCACTCTCGCGAGTGATGTGATTCATTTAGCTCTTAAGGTATAATTTCTTCTTTTTTGTTCCTTTTTTTTCTTTTTCTTCATACTTATCTAAATTCTTTTTTAACCTCCTTTAACGCTGATCAACTTGACGGGTATGGAATTGATGAGGAGGGTGGCTTGGATTGAGAAACAAGTTGAGGAATTAGACACGGAGGCTGATAGCTGGAAGATTCAATTTGAGAGCCATATGTTAGAATGTCTCCTCACCATCTGTGAGAGAATAGAAGAGCAAAAATTCAAGTTGGATAAACAAAACCTACATGAGAGAGAATGAAAGAAAAAGAAGTTTTCCTAATAGTCTCGTAGCCTCTCGAAGATAAGTATAGACGTCTTCGTACAGATTTGCAAGACTTCACTAAACTTGCTCGTGACTCACAGAACTATTGAGATGGTGTTTATGATTTCTTTGTTCTTGTATGATAGCTCTTTCTAATGAAATGGTGTTTAGTTATACATGCTAGTACTATTCCATGGTACTAACGTCCCTTTTGCTGGGGGCGCTACATCTTTAAATGGATGTAGGTGGTTCCATAGCAGTCAGTGTTGGTTGCAGCTAGTGGCGCATCCTCTTTTCAGCCGACTTGGTGAGCCCCACTTTATTTCGTGGTCCTGTATCATTCATTCATCATGTACTTGTATTTTGAGGTATAGCTGGAGCCTTGTTGCCGGCATTTCCATATTTCTCTTCAGTTGTATTTAGAGGCTCCGTAGACAGGTTGTGTGTGGTGTCGGGTATTGGAATCAAAATAGAAATATTGAAATTTGGCAAAGATGTATAAAACTTGTAATATCTTGAAACTTATGAACGAGATTGCTAATGAAATGATATGGAAGTCATTCATGATATATTCATAGAATTTGATTAATGGTGTACATTTCCTCTTTATTCAAAGATGAATTTGGGGTAGTATGAAACCTAACAGGCTTGCTCAGTCGGGTTTACTCGGTTGAGCATCGGTCGCGCTCCTCGGTTTTTGGAGCGTGACAAACTTGGTATCAGAGCCTAAGGTTTTAAAGTGTCCTAGGATGTCTCGGAGTCGTGTCTAGTAGAGTCTTTCTTATCGGTGTGTTGTCGACCATGTCTATAAGTTGGAGGCTATTCGGACATTTAGGAATTTCACCCTTCTTTGATACCCCAGATCGTGTAATAGAGCTCAATATAGGGAGCTAATCTCCTCGCTATGTCTTATTCCCAAGATGAGTAATCTCGATACCATAATCCACGAGTTTGAAGCAGTAAGGAGGGAATGACCCCACCATTGAATCTGAGGGAGATTGCCCAAGAGTTTGTTAGAAGAATGTATCGAGCCATGGAGGGATTGGTAGAACTTGTTGCTAAGGGGAGTACCTTTATTCCTATTAATGTCTCTGCACCACCAGATCATGTAGTATATCAGTATGTTACCTACGTACGTTACGGATGTGGAGTCGAGGGGTATCGATTAAGCTATTGCCCTATCAACCTAAAGTCACCAGGTAAGTCACTCCTTAGTACATCAATATGAACAACACAAAATTTCTACTTGTTGTATATGTACATCCATAGTGAAGAGTTCTCATAAACATGGTCTTAACAAGATGTTGAATCACAAAACATTGCATGCACCTACTCTTTGAACGAGACGTATTATTCATGAAACCTCCTGATCAC